AGAAAGAAACCAGTTATACTTGCAAGTGGCTTGCAGGAAATTTTAATAATTTGCCAAATACACAGCTATTGGAGTTAACCTAAGTATCACTTATAATTAAATTACAAAAGTTCGTAGATAGCATAGTATAATGTTCTATAAAATAAACACATGTAATGTATTAACAACACCCCCTGCAGTCCAGTAACGGCAAAAAAAAAAAAAAAAAAAACCCAAACACAAAACGACAACAAAATGAATTAGTCAAACACATACAAATTAGAGGGGATTGAGTGACGGCTTCAGACACTTGAACCAAAGAAACTGAGACCAGACTACATACATTCATCCATCAAGCATAACAAATGCAGAATTTTAGGTTCTAAAAACAATTAACAACACAGCATTAGGTGCAATTTTACATGCTTTATCTTCCAGTGGGGTTCCCAGAGTATTAAAGTGCCTTTGTGCACTCTAGTTTCATTTAGAGTCAGGTGCAATACACACTTGGAGGTCACTTCATAGATCACTAGGGTTTGTGTTGGTTTTTTTTAATAACTAGTTGAACCAATGCACACACTTCAAGCTAAGGTGTTTTTGAAGTACTTGTGTTCCCATTTACCATTACCCTGCACAAGCAGCTTCCATGAAAGATCATAAAGCAAACACAAGTCCAACTCCAAATACCCAGGTCAGAGTAAAAATATTCTTGAAACGTGTTTTCTGCTACACAATCTTTTTTTTTTTTTCTTCCTCCTCCTTTCCAACACAGCTGGAATTGTTACAGTTATCCCTTGGACATCAGCGTTCTGCACAGCTTTTCTTCACAGATGGCCCTGAACGATGGCAGATGTGGAGGGTTTGGCCTGTGGGTATGTGGCAGGGCATATTTTTAAGGTAAGATCTGATCACAGCCTGGTTTTAACTCAATAAATATGCATGAACTGCATCAGCCTGACTGCAAAACATTTGCAAGCTTAAGGCCTGCGCTAATTACCTGCACTAATTGCTTGCACTGCAGAGCTGACCAGTTGTCCTCCTCAGTGCTCCTTCTGAACTTCCACTCTTCCCTGCTGGGCCACCTCCGTAAACCCAAGACCTCAATTCCAACTGCACAAGGAAGAGGCTGCCACTCACCTTGCCCCCAAAATACTCTTCTAAAAACACACCCAAGTTTCATAAAGTTTCATAAAACCTGAGAGGTAATCTCCAGTCAAAATGGGTCCAAAACTAAAATGTGACTCCTTTTTTTCATGATAAAAACAATGGAAAGAAAGAATCTGCACCTCCCATGTTATTTGAGGGATTCTGACCATGTCTCCACACCTGCACTTTCAGAGTGGTTACAGAACACAAAGTTCTTACGAATATATCAGATTTCCATAGTAAATCATCCCCTGGCGATGCCTTAGCTGCTACCTACAGGAGGTCACCACTGGTACCACAGCAAGGGCTGAAGAAGGCACTCAGGAGGGAAAGTTACTTAAAAAAGTGAACAACTAATCAAATCATTACTTAACACAGGGATGGAGCCTCTGACCTCCCACTGTCTTCCTGCACTTGATAACACTCCACATCATGAAATGAAAAATTACAGGGATTTTTTACATTTTTACCTGTCAGCATCACTTGCTCATGAGCCAGCGTTGGCCTTGCCTTTTCTTTGCTGCTGCTGCTACGTGTAAAAATGCTAAATTTTACATACCACAATCCAGACTCAAATCAGCAAGAGCTCTTTGCAGGTAAAGAATCCTTTAGCGGAGCTTTAGATGCATAATACACTAACATTACTTAAAAACACACGTGGACTTAAGAATGTCAGTAAGGTATGCACTCTGCTAATTAAAAGTAAGGGAAACTGTTTTCTAATCTACTGCGTACTTTTAAAAACTCTATGTGAAACTATAGGGTAATGAAAAAGCCTATATGCACCAGAGCAGAAAACCCAAAACAGTACGAGTTTCAGGAGAATCACAAAGAGAGATAAAGTCTCAGGTTTAGTTCATAAAGTGATTCGGATAAAATACTTCAAACGGATAAAATACTTCAAACATTTCAGAACAACATAGTAAGTTCCAATGTGATTTAGGCAAGTTCCACCCATATCCAAAAATACCATATACGTAAATGCTTTTTATAAAACTTTATACAATTCAAGCTCTCATTCGGTAAGCCGATGCAGTTTGCACAGTTCTCTAGTTAAAGTCTTCAGCATAAACAACATTCTCAGAGAAAAACCATTAAAAACATTGCCTTGCTGCTGTGAATCTTCCCTTCTGACAACTGATTTTGCTAAATCACATTATTATTGCTCAAAGTTAGGACAGGCTTCAGCTATAACAGCAACCAGTTGTTACCCCGGCCCGGGGAAGGGACCTGTTTTATTGGGCAGAAATACCTATTATTTGTGTGACGATTTCTCAGTACCCGTCGCTTGCACTGGGTGTTTCCTATAGAATACAGAGAGGGAAGGAAAAATAACAATAATTTTTCAAAGGCATTAATGCGGATGAGAAGAATCCATGGTACTGCACAAGTTTAGCAACCAGTGCCTGCCTTTTTGTTTTGTACTCAATTCTGTCATACGCTTGGCGATTTCTGTGAGTATATTTCCAGCTATAGCTGAAAATTTAATCTTTTCAAATACAAGACACTAAAAAGATGCACAAGGACAGTGCGAGTCTTAAGACCTTTGCAGGTTTCTGTTCAGTCAATACTATGCCAGAACACCTCTACAACAAACTTTTATTACACAACTTCCTATTAAAAAATACTGTTATCTCTCAAGCTACAATTTAATTTAACAGAAATACATCCATAGTAACTACTGGTAAAAAAGCTGATAAAATTATTTTATTTTTTTATTCAAAATATTCTGACAATTTAACTATATTCCAGATGCATTACAAACACTGCCATAGTCAACACAACAATCAATACTTAAAGAGCATTCAAACACTGAAGACATTTATATCTTAAAGCAGAGACAGGAGAATGCAGTTATACTAAGAGAATACAGATCATTTTCCAATAACTGACTTATTTGAGGCAGATACCTAATTTTCCCGGCACAAAATGGATCAAAATCCAAGAGGAGATGAATTATGGAGGACAAAACTCAAAATGCATACATGTTTTCTGCTATTTTCTATAAAACATTGCGAATTTTTAGTTACAAGGCCTTTCTCAGCCTACTCTAGTGTTGACCGCTTACAGAATAGAAACAAAACAGAAAAAAAAACAGAAACAACAACAACAACAAAAAAACCAGAAGGAAAACAGGGTTAAAGCAAACACACACACACAAACTTCCTAGAATATGGCTTAAATTAGTTCACAGACAGTTAGGAATATAGTGGGTATTAACTGTATGGTTGCAACAGAAATACCAGGTGGAAAAAAGTCCTCATCTTTCTGCTATTTTGCCCCTCACCATAATTTGCAAAAGTTCTCAACAAGAAGATATTGCCCCTACTGCGAGCATCTCTCCTCATGCTTCCAAGCTATTACTCTGCAAACAGATTGTTTTGATTCTTGAATGGAACATCCCACGTTAGCTCTACGGTTTAAACATCGTCGTATAAGAAAATACTATTTTTCCCAATTAACCTAGGATCTCGAATGGAGCTAAACTTTTGGTCAGCTTGATTTAAAAACACGTTTGTTTCTCTTTCTGGTATAGAAAATGTGTAATTGAGAACTTGCAAAGCCATACAGACAAGTGAGTGCACAGTGCAGAACGTCGAACAGAGCAGCAAGGCCACAATGCCACATGAAGTCCACATTTAAAAGCTGTTTGTTTCTGGCAACCAAATCCATTCCAGAGGTTTTTGTTTGTTTTTCAACTTCAGGCTTGCATAAAACAAAAGCATTGAAGTTTTGGCGTTTACAGGCCAAAACTTGTCATCACTTTCATATCGCTGACCACACAAGCGAGTTAGGACTGTCACAAACACAGCATACACAAGATGCACAGCAAAAAAGGTCTGGATACATCAGCCTGATCTCAAATATCTTATATGGAAAGCCCTAACTTTGCCATTGAGAAGACGCAGTGGGACAATTTTCAAAACACACAGCTTGTCTACGCATCAAGTAAAAAAATTGAGCCAAGTTTGTCCCTGGGGAAGAGAGCCTTACTCCATGGGAATCCCTGCAGGAAGGCCTGGTTGCTCCTGGGCTGAAGTGGACCTCAGGAAAGGGTCCTGCGCCAGGCTTGTTCGCTGCTTCCAGCTGGTGCTCCCCGCAAGGGAAAAACTAAAATGTTTGTTGCAGGACTACAGCAACAAACAGCTAAACAGCTAAACAACAAGCAGCAAACAGCTAAAGGAAATCTCAATGCGCTCATTCGGAATGCTCCGTTTCCCCTTTTTCTTTAAGTTTGCTTTCCAAAGGTAAGCTGTTTTTGAAGAAGGGCCAACAGAAAGGAGGATTGCGGCATTTTCTTTAGTCGCCACATCAGCCATCCCCTTAATTGACTATTTTCATCTCCTAAACCAAATTAGCTTCTGAAATACCTTGCAGCTGATTCCCCCCACCCCAACCACACATACACACTCTTTTCTTGCAAGCTACGGAGTTTCTCTAGCAATTGTGCAGTTTAAGCCTGGTTCAGTAACTTTGTCCAGCATTTTCTTAGCACCTCAACACAAATTACCTTGTAGCTCTCCTGCTGTGAACACCGGCTGGGGACAACCCCGGAGAGGGGAGGCACCCACCCGTTGTGGCAGAATTGCAGCATCACCCTGTTATGTTGAGAAGCTCTTCCGGCCACACCGGTTCCCAAGCTAGACTGCGGAAGCTCAGCGGGATCTGTCTCACAAAGTAGGGTTAGTCCAGTTATTCCAACGTAGTAAACACGAGAGGGCAGCACTGAGGACATCAATCCTGCACGTTAGCTCATTTTCAGTCCCTTTTCTAATAGCCTGCTCATGGAGATATGGCTCAGTGTCAAGACTAAGAGGGCAAACGTTATCAAAGCTGAAGTAGTTTTGGGGAACTAACATAACCCTTGCTTATTGTATAACTGTCCTCCTTGGATTTAAGCCAGCCATATACGTTTCAGCCTAACAATTTACCTATCCTGCTTCATCTCAAGTATCTTCATCCTTTCACACTTCTTAATTAACTATCGATTATTTTCCTGAGTGAGATTATAAAAAGTTAAACCCTTCTACCAAAAGTACAAAGACAAATAAAATATAGTAGAACAATACAAACCCAGTTATACAGCATTACAAGTGCAGAAATTCTTCATGTTGTTGCTCTTCTTTATCATTGGCCCCCAGTAAAAACCATAACAAAGAATTTAATTATCCAAAATATTTTGAAGTACTGTGATTAAATTCTTCAGACCATAAATGTAGCCCTCATCCCTCGTGTCGCTAGGAAACACGTGAGCAAAATCTATCATTCGGACTTCCACGTTTGCGCTTTCCTTGATTTCCGCTGGCACGTGACAGAAAACTTTTTCCAGTTGGGGTAGAACGTTCCCGTTCAGATGCTCCTGGGTTATGCAAGTGCTCCTTTTCCACACGTTGCCCTGCTCCAAGTTTTCAACTTTGAGTGAGAGCTGACCGTGGTGGTGTCTCTTGGAATACGCCTTTTTGTGAAGTGCATAAAACTTGGACAAGCCTTTACTTACCGAGGCCTCTATTTTCCCATTCTCTGTAGAATTTATTACGTGAATATTATTATTATACTCCAGTATGTCTCCTCCTAACAGTCCCCTGGGCAGGACTCTCTTCTCTGCCAAGGTGACCTCGCCCAACCGCACGGTGGTCGCCTGATACGAGCCCTCATACACAAACAGCAACGAGCTGGCGTAGAAGTTGAGCTGCTCCTGACTCTCAAACCACTCCAGGATTTTCTCAATTTTCTGAATGCTGGCAGCGACAGCATCTTTTCTTAGGCAGTACCCGTTGTGAAAGAACTTGGAGACACCTGCAAGAAAGAAATGGACATTTCCAGGATTGTTTTTTTTCTTTTTTTTTTTTTGGGAAGGGAGAATAAAGGTTTTCATTTTTTTTTGTGACTTGTTCTCGAATTGAAGAAAACACAAATATTCCTCTTAAATGCTTATTAAATAACACAGAACCACAGTAAGGAAATCAAATATTTTCAGTTAGCTTTTCATGAAAGAACTGCTTTCTAATGTTATAGATTGCAAATATAACTAAACAGCAGACAAAATATGCTGCTCCCCATTTCATCCATTTTGTTTTTATTATTAGGGTGCTTTATTTTTAGTGTGCGTTATCATCACTCATAATTGGATAGTCAAAGTTGTCAGACTTTGACTGAGAAGGTTAATTTAAATGATGGATATAGCCATAGCAGCCTTATAAAAGACATTACATACAGACAGCTGCCAGAGAAAAATGCAAGTCTTTAAAATATTGATTTAATAGCTCTAAAAGGCTTCTATTTCATCATAGTATCAGACCTATAAAGCAAAGGAATTCTACCAGAACTCCTACTTCCCTCTTATTAGCAGGAAAGAATGTGATGAGGAAAAGCCCTTCACAGCCAGCTGCAAATTTATTTTATTTTATGACCAACATGATAGAGGAACAAGTTACAGACTCACCTTGCAAAAAGGCAGAAAGAAACTTTATATAAGGAACACACAAATAATTTGAAACCATCTTCTCATGGAATATTAAAATAAGCATCTAAATAAGTGAATGCTCTGGGCTTTACAACTGTCACGCATGGGTATCCTCACCATCTTTTACGGTTTCCTTCGTGAGGCTCCTTCCGTAGTGCTGGTTTTGGGTCTCGTAGCTGTCAGTGCAGACGTGGTAAACCTGAAAGAAACCACAGGGAACTCTGTACTTGTCTAGAGAAATCAGTATTTCCCCATAGCCAAGAGCTGTTGCGGGCTGGCTACAAAGCACTGGTTACTCGGGAAGATTCTGCCTCAGAGGAGGCCAATACTGCCCTCTCGTGCTCCCGTCTGCCAACTACCAGCACGACTTCTTGCACGTTTCTCCCCACAAAAACCTCGTTTTATAGGTCAGAAATCACCGGGTGAATTACTGCCAACCTTTGCTATGGCACCTTGCAAGGAAAGGCACGAAGGTAACACACGATATTACTGTGTGTTATATATTACAAGCTCAGAAATTGAGGTTTTTTTCATCACTTTATAATCCTTAAAAACATCGACGTGCTTAACAAAATTGAAAAGCAACGCAAAGTTTTATTATTCGACCAATAAGGCTCAGCTCCCTGAGCCTCCCCCATTAGAAACAGGGGCATAAGTTGAGCAGTTCCAAAAAGAAATAAATCCCTGTTTTTCTTCCACTGCTGGGTTTCCCCCTGTTCCTCTGCCTCCAAAAACATCCCAGAGCAAGAGTCAGGCACCCTGTGCTTCCCGTGAAAACACTTTAACCATGTCCTTCAGTCCATGTTCAAGCAGATTGCACTAACAAGATGTGCTGTTCTACAAACGCTTTTCTCAGGTTTTTTTAACATCTCAGCTCCTTATTTTTTTGCGGAATATCGTCCCACAAAACTGGAATTCCATAGATTTAGAAACAGACACACGTGTTTTACTTGACATTACAGCACATTTTAACTATACAAAGTGGTCAGTAATATCAATTACTGATTACCAAATATTGACACTCTGATTTATATATGTAACCATCTTGCAAACATTCAAATATTCAAACTATCAGCTGTTACAAAAGGATATGGGTGCCATCCGTTGAGTTTTTTTTTTAAGGCAATATTATTAAAAAGAGAACATTGTCCAACTCACGTGGGTAATCAAGAAAATATTCTCCACTTAGCCAAAAAGCTATCTCCTAATTCTCTTTAAAGCCCTTTCAATTGAAAGGAAGCGACAGTTTGAAACGTTTTTGGAAAATCTCAACCCAGCAGCAATACATTAAAGCTCATATTGAAAGCAGGAGAGCAGAAACCCATACTCAGAGAGGAACGAACTTCCAACATTTCTCACTTGATCTTCACCTACCCCTGCAAAACGGAGGAAACCCAGTGTTGCAAGAGACTAAAGTCTGTTTCCTTGTGTGCAGGTTTCTTGCTTGTTTAGGCTTTTGTTTGCTCAGGTCCCGCTAATCCACCACCAACCTGTCCCCAAGAGAGACTTCCCTTTGAACTGACTGTATCCTAGCTGTCGCAAGTGCCTGGACTTGCCCATTTCTGTCCAAAGGACGACAAAGCAATAAGGTCATATCTAAGCTTCTAAAAACTGCCAAGAAGCTCTTAAGCAGGAAAGTTTTTCTTGTCCACCATGGGGTGTTTGTCCTCCCATCTGCACAAAAAGCTTCACTCTGCAGGGTGGGACAAAGAACTTGTCAGGGTATCTGCAAAACAGCATCTTAGAAAACCGCTTAATTGGTATTTTTTAAGTTGATACTACACATGATTGGAACCCATTCAGTGAGGTTTGTGTATAAAACGCAGGGCAATCCAGGATGATAACAAGGTTTGTTTATTACTATTATTATTATTATTATTGGCAAGGTCACTGTAAGGGCAGGATGTCAAGAATTGCAGATAATCAACTTTCTCAGCATACACTCAGCTTTCACTTTCTGATGAGGTGTTAGTTTACTGCTGCCTGCACATGTACACATATTTTTGTACCATTTCTTAAAAATGGTATGACAACAAAAAAAACAGTACAACAACAACAAAAAAAAAAAACCCATAAGCCTCACAAGATGCCAGAACTGAGACAAGCAGCTTGGAAGACTCGAAACTGCAGCTTTGAATATGAGGCTAAAATCTGCATTCAGAAATGCAGAATGCCAAGCGATATGTTAATCTCAGTAATTTAGTATTGACTTTCAGGGCAAGGCAGAAGAAAAATCCACAGACTGCTCTAACTCTTACCTGTAGCAGTCCCTAGGCTTCCAGGGCAGAGGATTTAAATACACAGTAACTGTATAATTCAAATATATACACATTAAACCTGGTCTGTTTGCTAGAGATACAGTTATCACAAAAATCTTTATTAAATAGTTTTCAGCCCTCATGAACATCTGTAAAAAAGCAACTAATCTACGCTGAGACTGGAAAAATACACATACCTGGAACTACTTTGGCTGATGGCACAGACATTATCTGCTTCTTTCTCGCACTTGGCAATTCCAGATGTGCACTCCACACAGCTGGACTTTAAAGGGCAACCCGAGTTGTCCACCCCGATACTCTTTCCAGAGATATGCTTAAGTCACTCCTATTTCACACATGGACAGTGAGCAAGCAAGGGTGTGTTTAGAGGTCACACAAAGCTTTTGGTTTACAGCAAGGCCTCTCTGCTTCTGTAACTGACACTGGAACATTGCAATTAAACCATGAGACATTTTAAAATAACTTAACACATTATCTTAGATCCCAGGAACGTCCATGGAGCAGCTCATTAGGAGTGAATTCCTCCCATGCAGATTCTTCTGTACCATGGGCACAGAGGCCATGTATCTCTTGTCTCTTATCACCTTTTTTCTTAGTGTCTGATAAGATTTCTGTTATACATAAGGACACCTGTACCAAAAATGGCTAAAATTTGCTCAAGAGGATGACAGAATTCTATAAGCACTAAATTCTATAAAGGAAGTATTTCTGAAACACGTCCTTCAAATCAGTTGTGAAACACATGAGCGCAGCCAGGCTGCAAGAACCAGGAAGCAAAAGCTAGAAGAGACGCAAGGGAGGAGGAAGTGATACCCGGGGATACCAAAGGCAGCAGCTTCGCAGAGCAACAGGAACCTTCGTCTGCTGCCTTATTGTTTGCTGCCAAAAAATGAACACTACGTGCAGGATTTAATAGCATCTTTATGCTATTTCCCCTCCCTTTATGCTGTTTCCCTCCTAAATATTGCTATTACCATATCAGACCTTATGAGTGTTATCACAACACCGGTGTTGACAAGGAAAAGAAATGGGCTAAGCCGCAGTCAGTTTTAAAACACCTTGTGAGAACGTGGCATGGATTAGGAACTCCATCCACGAAGACAGTTTTTGTGAGGTATCTGCCTTAGCGTAGAAAAATAGCCAACAGGCACAGGCAAAAATAAATGCCAGACTGTACCAGCAGAGTTTTGTAACCACCATCCTGCACTCTAAAGCGGATGTTTCACTAACACTACAGACCACATAATACTATGTATAATCGAGATATTCTGGAAGGAAAAAAAAAAAAAAAAGCATGCTAGTTAAATCAGGAATTGTGGATTCTTACTGTGACTATTTAGAATTTGCAGTCCAACCCACACGTTTTGCTGGTCTTTGACAGCACAAAAAATATTCTATTTTTAATACTGCACACACTGCTAAGTTATTTCTTATATATTCCAATTTCTGCTACTGCAACTAGTTGCAGTTCTTTTCTGACTGCAACCATAACTGACTGTTTTGACCTATGTTTAAGCTCTCACGACTTCCACAATTTCTTGTTTAGTAAATCTAAGTCCTCACAGGTTAAGGAAGGAACCTCAAAGCTAACTATGAAACTGAGCTTTATCAGCATTATTCAAATGACGGTACTTTCCAAATGTGTTTATTCACATCCATGTTTATTCCCTGAAATAAAACGAACGTGCTCTAGCACATGCCCGAATACCAGAACTATGTATATTTGGCAGTGCTGTTGATTTATAGAGTACTTGCTTCTTAGGACAAACATTATGTATTTACACATAAAGAAATTACGGCTTATTTACCAAAACATACAAATGTTTTATCAACTATCTCAACAGCTTCAGCAGGGGGGAAACTAAATAAATACATTTTTTGTTTGTAGCTCTTCTGCATGATAACTTGTGTGGTTTGTGCAAACACAAAAACATAAAATAAGAAATACTAACACATGTAACTTGGCCCTCCTCCCTTCCTCCTAAAGTAGGAAGTTAAGAAACATCCTTTGCATACACAGAAGTGTATTAAAACTAAAACCAAAATACCTTTTCTGAACTGTGTTACACTATTTTGTCTAGCAAGCGTTAGCACCCTTATCCAGCACGCTACGTGTCTCGGGCAGTAAATATCAACAAAGGAAAATATTTTACATTATGAGCAGAATTTTGCAAGAATAAAGAAAGAGTATAGGCAAAGTCACGGAGCATAGCACATGCCTTGCCAGTCTATACTTGAAGTGCTGCAAGAAGGGAGGAGGAACCCATTGAAATCTTTCTGGAAATTCTGGAGATGCAGTTTGGTGCCAGATGCACAGACCTTGCACAGTTAAATACCGGGTGGGAAACAGCGGTGCAGGGAAAAGCCGTCATTATAAAGAGTTTTAATTAAGGAATGGAGTGAATTTCTGTAACAAGATAAAGACACCAGCCAACGGCAGTTGTAGAGAAGCAGTAGTGGCGAGCATAAAAACACTGAGAGCAAGCACCGCTTTTGCACTGTCACAAAACACAAAGGCTGCAAAGTACCTTGTTTTACACATGAGATAAGAAAGATTATGCAACAATCTAAGCCAAATCCGAAGCTATAATCTCCAGCCTTCCTTCTGGATCTGAACTGTTTGACTGGCTTTTGCTTCTACTCCCCCTTTCTCCCTTATACAGTCTTACATAACTACCCCTCTTGACAGCTATAATTTATAGCTGTGAAAGCTTATCTCAAGAGAGAGGCAAGGGTGAGAGCTTAGACAATTAAGCACAAAACCATGCAGGATATGAGAATTATTTCAAACAATGGTGCAACCTGTGTGTTCCCACTATCTAAGTAAACTGTACGCTTGAAAACGGCTGCAGTCGTTTATGCTTGTTGATGCAGAGCTTGGGAAGCTTTGGCTTTGTCTGTGCAAGAAGGACAACCAAAAACCTCCCATCAGAGAGCAAGAAAATTATTCTTTCAATTAACCTTGACAAGAGAGGAAAAAAAAAAAAAAAACTGAATCTGAAAGCAAAGCAAGTTCTTACCCTCATGCCAACATTTTAAGCACATCCATTCAACAGTGAAAAAGGAGGACTTTGCTCAAAAAAGGAAAATAAAAAAACAAAACAGAGGGAGCTTAACCAAAGCATGGGAATATGCACATCAAAGACTTCGCTGGGGGAGAGTATCACTGGACTATGGAGTTTCCCTCATGTCCCACAGGCTATAATAAAACTTTAGTCTGAATGCGCTTCAGCATGAGGGATCTCTCTTACAGGTGGGAAAAAGAAATCTGTAAACTGCTCCTGACCTGCACAAGTTCTGCAAAGCTTATTTATGTTGAACTTTTAGGAGTAATCTATGCACGATACTGAATCTTCATTTTGTTTTGTATCTAAAATAAATAAATGTAATAGAGCTAGCATGGACATCTGAAAGTCCCGATTCATCTCAAGCTAGTCTCCAATTGACAGTTGTTCCTCAAGCATAAAAACACCAGATGTTTTCTTCCAGTGGAAAACATTTTTAAACCCAGAATGCAAGCAGCTATTTATAACTACATGCATCATCTGCTGAAAGTTAACCTGCTCTTCCCTAAATATATTCAAATGCCTTACCTCACTTCATTAGAAGCAAGTGTGCATTAAAAAACATGAAGACTACAAATTAGGAGAGGATACAGCCTGTTGCTAAGTCATTATGAGAATTGATCCTGTATTTAAATCTCCACTGTAAGCCCAAAAGCCTAAAAGATGGATAATCTTTAAAATATCTGATAAGAGAGAAGAATCAAATGAAACTATCTGAGTTTAGGTAATTCCAGCATAACCCAACATCTGTCATATTCTACTCTGAACTCAAGTTGCATGTAGTGAAGTCAAGCACTTGTCCTGACTACTAGCTGTGGTTTGAAACTTAATTCATGTGACCCTGGATATCAGTACTACCAACATATTCAGGTGACCCCTCACTGGCATAAACCCCTCAAATTATTATCATTCACTGAGGCAGGAAGCCACTAAACCTGCTGCTGGACAAAGTATAAACTGAATCTGAAAGCAAAACAAGTTCTTACCCTCATGCCAAGCACCAAAAAGCCGATCTCTTCCATTAGCGGGTACTTGCTGACCTGTTGCTGGATCTTTTCAGCTGATGCATACGGATCGTAACTTTTCTGACCTATTTTTACATCCATTATACATGGCTTCTTAAACTTACGGGTCACATCTTCCAGTTTTAGATATGTATCTGTTAAAAAGACAAATATTTAGTTAACAAAGATTGAAAGCAAAGCAGGATTCCCAAATTCTCCATTCTTGCGGAGAGGTAGAAGGGTTTAAAGCTTAGCATCGGGCAAGTTCTTTAAAAGACATCCAAATTTGTCTTCAAATACAGGTTAAACCATGGTCATCGACATCCACAGATTCTCTTGACATTGAGTTCTAAAGTTCTATTGCTCTTCAGTCATTAGCAGACTTCCAATAACATTAATAAGCACACAACATTAATAAGCATGCCAGCACCTGGTTGATTTTGTAATGGAGACGGCCTTTTCTTTACATGCACAGAGGACCAGAATTAAAATAATAAATTTTAGTTTCATTTTAAAATGAAACTACTATTTCATAGCCTCACAGTACAGTGAGAGAAATACCTCTTTCTCGTTTCTGCTCTATTTCCCCTCTCTTTCCCATGTCACACATTTAAGGGGAATCTCAGAATCTCAGACTGCTGTTTAATCCATTTTCAAGTGTTGTGCAGGGGCGTCAGGGAGAGAGAAGAAACCCAAAGTAACCAGTCAACCAACCACACACGCTCAAAACTCCAAGTGTTTCTGAAGGAAGCTTTCTAAGGCTCCAAAGGATCATCTAAGACCAGTTTCTCATCAAAGGGGTTTATGCTTTCCCCCATGCAAGCAGAAGACTTTCCCAACAAGATTTATAGCTCTGATTGTTAGCACAAGAAAACAAACCTAACTCTCAGACAAATCTGATTGGGAAAAACTTGATGCACTGCCAAGCACTGGGAATCTGGACAAGTCCACACACCCTATTAACATAGTAGTTTCTCCACACTCTTCATAAATCTGCTTCTGCATTTTTAAAGTCCACCGCAAACTTGACACAAAATTCATTTTTCTTTTATGTATGGCCCATTAAAAAAATCTATCTCCTCAGCTATACAGAAATCTGCATACACACAAGCATCCTAGTTTCTCCAGCTCTCCACCATAATCTAAAATGGACTTGACAAAAAAGGAAAACTTGTTAGTTCAAGTTTAAAGAGCAGAAGAAGGACAAAGTGCCCCAGTTTGATGGGGTATACAGTTAAGGAAGGAACACCCATGTCAAGCAAAACTGAACAAACAGCAATGCTTCATTTCTACTTAAATAGTAGAAACATTTTCCTAAGGATAAGCAATGAAATTGGCTTTTATTACCTAAGACATCCTGTTTGGAACTTGATAGATTTTATACTATGCTATCATCACCACTGAATGACCCCATGAGTATTTGTAGAGCACTCGTGGGTATCCTCTGCTTCACTTGACCGAACTCCTCCAAAGCACTAAAACTCTGCACCTCCAAAACAGTTAAAGGTTTACATACATGTCAATTTAATTCTACATTCATCTCATGACTGTTAAGCTGGAATATCTCCCTTACTGTCCTACTCAAGTATAACCATTACTATTAAAAAATACAAAAAAACAAAAACAAAAACAAAACAAACAAACAAAAAAAACCAAAATAACCTAACACACACATGCACTTTGGAGTTAACACTAACTCTGGAAAAATACCAATTATGTGGCCAAGTTTGTGAATTATCTAGAAATGACTCATCTCTCTCACTCAGAATTATTCTTTAAGTCTTCATCTTTAGCTAACTGCAAACTCAATTCAGATTATTAGGTCTGCTCAGTACTAGGTCTGCTCAATACAATCCTCAATATCAGTTTGAGATACTGCATGTGCCAGGGAAAAATGCTGCACATCAATAAAGTAAGTTTCAAGCTATCCAAAACACAGGTTAAACTAAAATCTCATGCAGAGAAAAGAAGGCATGAAGATGTTTGCATCTTTGCTTCAGCACATATTCCTCAAAATGTATTTCTAGAATTTAAACAAGTCATTTCTCAGAGGCTTCACCTCCTCCCCTTTCTATTTTTCAGCAGAGAGGAAGATGGGGCTTGACATATTCTTTACATATTTTATTACAGTCCCCAAGGGGACAAGCAGGAGAAAAAAAGACCCAAACTGAGCAAATATGTATGGCATGGAGCACTGAGGACTTCAGCATGCACAGGCTGAAGCCTTCAGTCCTTAATGGAGTCAGAAGGGAGAAAGTATCTCGAGGCATCCGACTTCATAATTTACAAGGCATCTCTCAAAAAGCAAGCAAGCAGAGAATGCCCTAGTTGCTGTCAGCAACAAGAGGAGAAAACAAAGATTTGGTTACAAACTACATTTATCTACTCTGTTCTCATTTTTGGCAACAAAATCAGAATGCAACAAACAGCAATAAGGGTACTTGGGAGGGTCAGGGAGAGCAGGGGCAACAAGTAGGCAGCAAAAACAATCTTGAAGCTCTTAGCAGATATCTCTCGATTTGGCACTTCCACATCTTTATGACAACTCTTCCACACGTTTACTAATACACTCCAAATGCCTACAATGCCACAGAAAACAGAACAGGACCCAGAAGGCCCATACAGAGGCTTTTGTTAGTTAAGTGACTTCAGTGGAACAGGAAATGGAGTTTCGCACATTTTTAGTGACACACTATTTGTGAATATTAGTTTCTCTCCTGCCTAGCAGATGAAAAGGTCAGCAGAAGGCAAGTGTGCAGCAGCATCTTCCTGTGCTTGTACTTGCCATCATCCAAAATGACTCTTGTGCAGGGTTAAGGATGGCCATTCCTATGTTCAAATTAACACTTAATATATTTCATGCCATTTAGCTAGCAATTTCACTGTCTACCTAGAGTCTTAGCATAGAAGCCTCACACTCATGTCACTTAACCTTTCTCTATAGAAAAATATTACCTGTGGTCTCCACTTTGCCCACCAGTTCCTGCTTTACCTGTCATACACTTATGAATTTCACAGGTCATCTTCAGTGTGGACCAAAATTCATTTAGTCTGTTTCTTCTACTGCAAGTTTAGGATTCTCTCCATGCTACTCAAACTCTCAGCCCTCTTCCCAAAATAAATCATGTACGTAAGACTCTTACCTGCTGCCAAGCAGATATCCCTTCCCTCACTGTCTAATAAATGAAATTTATCTAAAAACAAATGTCTGTGGCCATCCCCTCTCTGCCCTGGCAAGACATAGAAGCCAATTCTCCTTCACATAAACTGTTAAAAATATTTTCTATGTATATAAAATACAATATGTATTTGTGTCTATATATAAATACACACAATTCAGAACATGCAGTAAGCAGAACAGATCTGGCAACTGATCTATTCTTATATTCATAAAGATAATTCTTACATATATTTTCTTATTTTATGTTCATTTAGCAAGGAATTACTAACTTCACTGTGCAAAGGTTGTCTGGAGCTTTGTCCCCACAACCTGTAGAGCAACAACAGTCTAAGGAAACTTCAGGCTTCTAGCATCAAGATGGCAAAAGTCTAAGCAAGGAGAACAGAAGCAGGTTACACAGGCTTAAAAAGCAAAAACCAAACAAAACACAGAGCTCAATGCCAAAATCTTTCTCCAAAGATTTTTCAGTAGATTGGGGCTAATGGATAAAATTAGAACAGTACCATTTGGTGCAGCAGGTGGTGACCAGACACCAAAGTATTTTGGCAGGTATTCCCGCAGCTCCAGAAGAATGCTGTCACAACAGCCAGAGTCATAAACCTGAAATAAATGGAGTGGAAGCCACCATTAAAACATTAATTTTACATTTCTAGTAGTCCCTTAATTATCATTTCTTATAGCCTTTCTGTTTATACGCTTAGGATTTCTACTTTTTAGCATTTAGAAACACAAGATGATTATCACAACATGAGGTGACCTAACAGCATCCTTCATTTCAATTTCTGAAGTGGAAAAGATACACCAGCCCTAACAAAGCATAATGCATGTATTAACTTGAATAAAAATATAAACCATATTTGCTTATTTAGTAAGGACTCAATTCTTCTATCCTGTATCTAATATTGTATAGGATTGGCAGAGATAAAACATAAAAAGTCTCAGATATCTGGCAAAAACAAGTCAAGTATACAAGTTCATACTGGACAGCAGTTCCTCATTTCCTCCAGAACAAATCATCCCAGACCATGCACAATTCAAATACATTTGTTTTCACTTGCTTTAACTATTTCACAAAATTTTGCAACTTATCTAAGAAAAATAAATGTTTGAGAATGGCAGTTAGCTTATATTCCTGGAAGAATAATTCCTAGCACACTAAAAATGAGGCCTAAGGATACCTGCTAAAATAAATAAAATGAAATAGTGTTAAAAGAGTTCTATGGAGTTAATTCAATTCATGCTTCAAGACCCACCTTTAGCCAAGGTAGGAGACTGTCTTGTGAAAAGCAGTGGGCATTCCAGAATAAATCTACTTATAGCTGTGATATGAAGATTTCAGTGGGGAGGGAAAAATCTTCAAAAGGCTGAAATTCAGCTACTACTCTATGACATAAAGGCAAACCTCAACTCTGATCGCTGATGCAGCACAGAGCCTCCCAGAGCAGCAGGTTAAAATTAGTCGCTGTGGGTTCATGCTATATTTACTTTTCGTCACAAAAACCTCAAAGTGGACTAACTCAGATCAGCCGCTGCACTTCAGAGGTAACGTGGTGCTTCACAGCACCCTTCCCAGGCAACGACTACAAAGCTAATACAGCCAAAGCTAGCGGGATTTGATGCCTCATTGTGTTTTAACTCGACTCATCCACGCACAGCAGGACATGACCCCGTGGCCCTGCACCTCTCACTGCACCCTCTGTGTTATCTCAGGCGTATATCTTATAGGGCAGGGGCACAATGCACCACTTTCTTTTCAGAGGGTGGTTTAACAAGCAGATGCCTCTTCTGAGCTGAGCACAGACCTATTTTTCCCCTCCAGGCCATCACGAACTGGTATGTTGATATTCTTGTACTCTTAAGACGAAAAACTCGCCTATCCCTGCGATCAGTAGCTTCTAGTTCTAACAGATGCAACATTTCTTTGATGAGCCTCAAAAGGCAGCGCCAGCAGAAACCAATGCTTTCCCCAGAAGAGAGCAGTGCACCTTGATCTTAGCAGCTGGAAGAGAGGGATGAATTTAAGGGAGCAGAAAGACAGCACACAGCATCACAGTGAAGCTGAAACACGGACCCAGCTGGGTCTGAATCGGAGTTCACTACCTCCTACTGCCCAGCGTGCCACTTCTGGGCCACTATTCCCAGCCTCAGTGGGTCAAACTGCCTCCCATTGTAGGTATTTTCGAAGAAAGACGTATAAAAAAAAAACCATTTACTGTTTTATCATAGTATGCAATAGCTAGCAAACTGTGTTGTAGAGTGCAACCCCTCCTTTGCTCGGTGAATGCAAATAGGCAGCAACCATTACAGAGTACTACTGCTTCTACATGGGAAAGATGACAAAAATTTTAGACATAGGAGTAAAGAAAAGATTTGGGAGCAGTAGTGGAGCAGGCAAGGAGCAGAAGTACTGGATGCAACTGAAGACAGGGAAACCCAAGAGCTTGTTTGGTTATTTTATCTGCAAATTTTAATTAGTAAAACAAGGAGAGTGACATGCTCAGGCACCTCTTCCATTAAAAAAAAAAATAATAAGACTGTGACTTATCTTTTTAAATTACCAACATTATGGTACAGTATTTGACACTTAGCAAGTATATTTCAAACACTATGAAACAGTGAAGTGTTCAGATAATTTCCAATGGCATGTAATAGCCCACATTCAAAGACAAATGGGGTAGAAAACTCCAGAAATAGTATTCGTTGGAAAACTAATATAAGACATTTTAAATGTAGGAGAAAAAACACCACTGTAATGCGCTGTTCAGTATCATTACTATAGCAAAATGGAATTAAGCACATTATTTCTGTCCCTCAGAAAGTTATCTTGCTCCCAGAAGCAGTAATTAGCCGCCTTTAAAGGCTCTGATACAACATTTGCAAAACACTTATTTGGCCTTAATATAGACCCCAAACTCAGTCTGCAATATTTGTGTCAGATAATTAAACACTCGGTTAATAAACAGAGGAAGCCACTAGGGTGGGCAAAAGCAGGAAAAATAAAATTTATGAATTGCACTCATTCCTTTGCAGGAGAGAGCCATTTCTCATTAGAAAGGACCTCAAACACCAACAATAGGCATCTTATTTCATGTAATCCAGTAGCAAAACACACATTTGGATGTCATTCCAAAAGCTGACTAAAAATTCAGTTTATGTAAGATTAAAAAAAATATGCATGTAATCCAAAATAAAGAAACAGGACTGAACTTCAGAACGAGGTTTACAGCTGCAGCCCAACACCTAAAGAAGCACTGAACGCATCTCCCATTCCAAAACATACCTTACACTCCCAAAACTACACAGGAAGCGACCCTTGCACTTTTGCCCCAAGTTGTGCTAGAAACGAAGCCGGGAAATTCCCTGAAAGTGAGAATTTACCACTTACCCCAGAACAAGCTTTAGAATTAAATCATGTTGATTTATTTATATTAGCAATATTCCAGTTTTATTTCAACCAACTGCTTAAAAAAATGTTTTGCACATGATAGGTCCATTTCTCCAGCATACAGGAAAAACACGCACAGTTACCAGTAAAGCAGAAGAAACTTTTATCTTCAACAAATCAAGAACCGCAAAATAATTCAATGTCAGTGCAGCCACACTAGGTATCCATCCTTCATAACACAGGCTCACTTTGTCCAAGAGCACAAATCAAAGCCACATAATGCAATAACTGTTGGTCTTAAAAGCAAATAAACAGGATTTTTGGAGGGCTCACAACACGACCATTACAAATTATTGCAACTAAGTCATAGGAAGAGCATGTCCCAGATATGTTCTGTGGCAGTTTCGAGAAAATCTAACAGACGTCATGAAGTCATAATTTCCAATTACTCAGAACTTTTTAATTCTGAGGCAATTTTAGCATCCCTTAGATTTTAATCCAAAATACACTGTGTTTGTTTTTGCAAGTTTGATCCAAGCAGATTCATTTCCTTCTTAATGCAAACAGGGAGCTGCTTTTGAAAATGCGAATGTTCTTTTCCTTATTTAAAGTACCATGACTTTTTTTTTTTTTTTTTTAAAGGCTAACTAGTGACATAAATGCCTAGAACAAGTGTTTAAATTTCAAGAGGAAACTAGTCCTGGCAAAAGAGACTTATCTTCAAGTGTTCTGGTGAAAAAAACACTATTGACAGAAAACTTGTTTAAAAAGAATACTCAGATAAAGCACAGAGGTTGGCTCTTTTAATTTAATTTGCATTTAAAGCTATTTGGGTAGGCAACTTTGAAGTCTCAGACTAGATTTCCCTCTGACTGTCAGCTATCGTAGGCTCTTAATTAAGGCAGGAGTAGGACTATCGCTTGCAGAGACTCAGGGTGTACAACCAACTCCTAGTTTCAAATAACTTTTTTCTTTTTCAAAATCTCTCAGAAATACACTGATTTAGTGATATTTAAGTCTGGTATCAAAGCCTTTTTTTTTTCCCTCTTTTTTTTAATACTTTTTAATAAGTCATTTTTCTCTAAAGGAAGAAAAAAGTCTCATTTTATCCACCTCCACAATTTTGTATAGTCAAAATTAGGCTGAACCTAGCTAGATATGCAGTCTCATGCATGGAGTCAGCTTTGCAGAGGGCAAAGTAAGCCCTGATTAATTTCTAGGGATATGGAAGAGTTTCAAAGCTTTGGCCCAGAGAAGCAAAACTTCTACTGAAGAAGCTAAAAGGCAGCAATGGGGGACAGACACCAAGAGCAATGCTGAACCAAACTGCAGCAGAGCTGCAAGCTGCAGCTGGAGATGCCACGGGCAACGAGTTGCTCTAAAATGGCCCAAGTTAAATTGGGTAGACCCGATCAATGTGTTCCTCTTTTTTTCCAGCAACAACTTACTCTGATGGCAAGGCAATAAAGTGTTCTGCAAAACCTAAGTATGTGCTCCTCCCTATTCTACCAGGCAGTTTGTTTCCCCCTTCACATGATAGCACGGTCACATCCAATTCTTCAATCACACAAGGTTTCTGGGCAACACACGTTAACAATGAAGCAAGTTTAAATTATTTACTTTATCCCCACACACTCTGCACTGACACAAGCCACCCAACCGAGTAGAAAGCCAGGCCTCCTGCACCAGTGGCCTAGCTGTCAAAACTGTAAAATTTGAGACCATGTTTCATCACAACCTCTCTCTCTAGACAACTCAACTGCCTCTTGCCCTTTGGTCTCTCCTAGATTTCACAGTTTGCCAACAAATTCAACTTATGTTCAGCTTCAGCTGAGGGAGCCTTCCCTGAACCTGAGAGCTCCCTGAAGTTACAGAACTCCCCGTTCTGGATGCGCCCAGTGTGATCCTTCAGGCACCATAATCCGATTCATCTTTTCTTATTAAAAAAGGAACATATCACCCTTGATCAGCCGACAATTTTAACACACTTAGTGCTTGCCACTACTCTTTCTTCTTAATCCAGCGACCCAAATCATTCAATTAAAGCAGCTGCAGCATCACTGTCCTCAAGTCACCCAGTGCCAAATCTCACACCACGAGCAAGCAAAGAGTTCCTGTAATTTTAAGGAAAGTTGTCAGGTCACTTAAAAATCAGACTTCCCTACTGAAAACATCTGCGACAACCAGTTCTCACTTGTATTTGTAATTCTAATGC